CCAAGCTCCACTGTTATTCTGAGGTGACAGTGTGTTGTAGCAAGATTTCACCGACAAGAGGCCATTTGAATGACCTTTCCAGGTGGTGGAGTCCGGTTTTTGTTGATCCTGATCAGTGTTATTAAAAGTCATCTCTTCATTGCTTTAAAGATATCGATGTGAAGCGGGGGGTAGTGCTTCTTGGATGAAGCCATGTGCTTCAAAGAAGTGTGAACTTCAAACAACGATGTGCTTAGCGATCCAAACGAGGATTAGTTGGTTCATTGAGTCTCTATTTTGAGGAGTTGATTGAAATTCGGCTTTATTATATAGTATTAGATTAGTTATTTTATTTGCAACGATGTGCTAAGCGATCCAAAGGAGGTTTAGTTGGTTCATTGAGTCTCTATTTTGAGTAGATTAAAATTCGGCTTTATTATATAGTATTAGATAATGAGATTAGTTATTTTAGTTGCATTTTGATTATTATAGTGCTAAATTCATAGTATATGCTTAGTGGTTCCTTAATTTTCAGTTTATTATGTGCTTCATTTCTCGATTTTCACTTCAAACGTTAGGGATCTTGTCTCTTTGCTGTGCTTCTAAGAACACGGAGTCTGATGTATTTGCAATTGCATTAGAATTCTCACTGAACCATTGTTGAGACTGCTTCTTCTTTGTGCAGTGAATCCGGGTCTGGAACTGCTTTCAGAACCAAGAAATGAACTTTGGCAGACTGAAGAATGTGCTAGCTGCTACAGCCATTGAAGGGGTGGCTGAGGCAAGGGCCAGGATATTTGGTCATGTGCTTAATCCAACTGGGCAGAGATCATCTCACAAGGTTTTACGCAAGAAGCTCATTGGTGAAAAGGTGTCACAATGGTACCCGCACGATATAATGAAAGATGATCCTCTTGTGATGGCACGGCAAGAGCAAGAGCGACTGAGCAAGCTTGAAATGCTGAAACGTCGTGGAAAGGGACCACCTAAGAAGGGCCAGGGCAAGCAGGCTAAGAAACGCAACAAATAGAGTTGACGCTTTCACTGGCTTGCAAATGGTATCAGCAGCTTTGGGCTGTTTCTAGTGTTACTGATTGCAATTTGATATCTAACTTTTTTCTCTTTAATCTCCTGGGACCTTTTCCTGCAACTCAAACATATGCTTTCAATACTCTTCATGCTTGTTTCGACTTCTAATTCCCCCAATATCCACTTTAAGTGCAAATAAACTAATGTGAAGTTAGGGGCCGTTTGGTTCACATGCAAACTAGGCACGGATTAGTTATGCATAGATTGCATAATGTCAAAACAAGTAATGCAACGATAAATTAAGCAATGAAAGGAATGTAATGCATAAATTAGTAATGGAGGGCTTATTTGTGGTTGGATGTTTGGTTTGTTGTATTAAGGGGTCGTTTGGTAGAGTGTATAAGAATAATGCTGAATAGGGTGCATTAGTAATGCTGATATTAGTTATGCTTGCATTAGTTATGTTGGTATTAGTTATGTTGGTATTAGTTATGCTGACATATTTCTTATCCATTGTTTGGTTTGATGTACTAAAATACTGCACAATTTCTAAAAGAATTGTTTGTTTACAAAAATACTCTCATAACCAGTCCACACAACATCTTTTTTAAAGAAACATATGTTGAGGAATGTTTGTATATGAAAAGGGTTTAAACAAATTATTTGATTTGTCTACCTATATTGTAGTATAGAACTTAATATTTATTTATAAAATAGAAAATATGCTAAGTCTTTATTTATTTACTAGGGATATAATTTTATTTCTCACTTTCTTGGATTATTTCAAACTTGCATTATATAATAGCATATTTTAATCAAGTATAAATTTCGAAGTACATTTTAGTCTTTAACTAAGTTAATGCATGCATTAAAACCTATTGCATTGTTAATACCATGGTTTCTTATGCATTAGTTATGCATAGGATAATACCAAATAGGGTGTATAACTAATGCTTGCATAACTAATGCATAGGTTCAAAAAGTGTACCAAACAAAGTATTACTAATACACAAAGCTAATGCATCCTACCAAACGACCCCTAAATAAATTGGTTTTGAAGATGATGGGGGCGTTATTGTCATTTTAGTTAATTTAATCCATATATTGATAATATTTGTACTCTTATTTCATTTGTCCCGCATAAAATAATAAAATAAGTTATTTCTAGCTTTCCGGACGCTCTTGTATTTTGATGTTTTGCTTAAACATCAAAATAATTTCTAAAACAAATTTAGTTTGTCAGACTGACTAATCTTTGGGGCCGAAGAGAGTAGTTTGTAATTCTACCATTTTTGTGCAGTTGTCTCCTTTGTTAATAATCTGGAGAATTCCACTATTTATCATTTTGTTTCATTTTTTTCCATGTTAACCACGGCCTTGTCATATCTCTCCGTTTAACACTTTTATTAATCAAGATATGTTAATTCAGACAGTCGTAATTAACCTTGCCATTAAAACTGCTTCATCAACTTTATATGGACGAAGTATACCATTAGACACTTTTAAGCCTTTTAAAATATATATGTAATTTAAAATGTATTTAAAAATTAGACTATTCACTCAAACTTCGAGACTAAGTATTTTAAATTTTTATATAGTGAATTTTTGAGCTGCTAATTTGGTATTCAGGACTTAGTGTCCTAAATTTTTGAGCTGCTAATTTAAAACTCAGGACTAAGTATCCTTTTCTGAACTAAGTACTAATTTAAAATTCAAGACATAAGATTTAAATTTTGGATATAATTTTCGAACGAACACGATATCCTGAAGTTTGAACTTTGACGTTTAAATTTCAGTACGTCATATTCTAAACTTTGAGCGAATTGACTAATCTTTAAATATATTGTAAATTAGTTAATTGATGTCATTTCCACACATTAAATGGATCAATGTCTTTGGCTTGTTCCGAGATAATATCACATTATCTTCTAGACGTTAGAAATTAATACTATCATATCTTTTTCTAGATAACGTTTTAGCACTTCTTACCTTCCTCTCCCAATTCCCACCTTCTTTCACATTACTATTTGACCTCCTCCGGTCTTCTTCTAGTAACCTTATTTTCTTTACAATTTTCCAACCTCCTTGGATTGGTGATATTGAAAAAATAATTTCTAACATAAAATCTCGTATAAGTATCATAAATAATTATTGCTTAACTTATACTAGTGTGTTTGGTTGGTCGTATAATTTTTTTTTTAAGCATAATAAGTTAAGCTAGAAATTAGAATATATGTATTATTTTATGCGGGATAAAGTATAAAATATTTCATAATTTTTGTATAACTAGCATGTGATTAGTGGCAGAGCCGTTTACCGAAAAATTATACTAAGTAGTTAGATAAAAATTCCTTTTTATGTATTTATACTAAATATTGACTTCCTTTTACTTTTTTTTGGGTTTAATTTTTTATATTTTGATATCAATGAAAATTCTAATTCTCCATGTAATCAACCCCTTAATTTCTTCAATTCTAGTCCTATCTATCTAGAAGCCGTTCCATCTAATTAAGTAACATCAACAAGGGAAGGATAAAATAAACATAAAAATAAAAATAACAATAAGAAAAATGAAAGGACATCACTTTTGTGATTGTACATATATTTTCCCATAAATCTTCACATCTTCACAACATAGTACAGTATATAAGTATATATATATATATATATATATATATTTTACGTTCTATTGTACCAAAAATTGTTTTTACATCGTATTTAACTTGAAAGCTTCTTGATTATGGATATCAAAGCTGAAAAACGAAGAGTAGAAGAAGATTTAGAAACAATTTCTTTATCTGACCTACAAATGAAGGATGGAAACGAGAGCCCCAAAAATTCCTCTTCTCCTCAAGATTTTTTTGAATTTTTCACTGAATCTGATTCTGAAAATTATACATTTTCAGATATCATTTTCTGCGGTAAAAAAATTAGCCATGAAAATAATGACAAAAGGCAATTAGAAGAGCAATTGAATGAGACTTATTTGTCTCCATTATTTCGTTCCAATTCATTTCATCGGCCCGTTACGACGGCGATGAACCAGAAACGGGCCAACTCGGCCCGGTTTTACAGTTCACAAAATGTGCAGAAGGTGAATATTACTGCACTAACCTCCATGTCAGAAAAATCTCGGAGAAGAATGTTCATGTTCGGGCCTGTAAAGTTCAATCCCGAAATGGAGTTAAGTGCAATCAAGAAAAGACAGAGCCGCCGTTGTGTTCCGCCGCCGGTGATTCCGGCGAGTAACGGTGGAGAAACGGCGGCGTTGGTGAAGAGTAGTCAGAAGAAGAATAAGAGTGGGCCCACCAAAAAAATCGAGGGGTTGAGGAGTAGGCCCCACTTGGCTAACGTGTTGGCCAAGTCATTGCGTTGTTTTTCCCTGCGAAAACATTGCATGGCGTTGCCTTAGCATTCTATCTTCTTTTGGATAATATTTGGTTTGAAATTGAAAAAATAAGTACTAAATATTTAAATTCCTATTTTATTATGTCTAATTCTATTTAATCCCTATCCATAATAAACACTAAGAGGCTGTTTGGTATGATAGATAAGCAAAAATAATCATCGGGATAAAAATTTAGTATCGTTTTATTCTGTGTTTGGTTACTAATCATGCGATAAGTTATTCTAATTTTAAAAATAATATTAAAATAACTTATACTTGCCACGATCTAGAGTAATAATTCTAGGATAAATTATCATAGGATAAAACAATCCTAGAATTAATAACATACTAAACAGTTAATAAGAAATAATACTAGTATAACTAATTTCAGCCTAACTTGTCTCCAAACCAAAACGAACCTAAATATACATTAATGGTAATGACAAAGTTTCTCTTTAGGTTTGCAGCGTTTGCTCATGTACAGTCGTTTAAAGAGAATAGATAAGAGTATTGCTTCAATTTGAATTATCTAGAGAATAGATAAGAGTATTGCTTCAATTTGAATTATCTAGAGAATGCGATAACTTGATTCTTTTGAATTCTATATTCGAGGTTGGGATTAAAAATGTAAACCTACAGTGGTAGAAACAGGGATAATGGGAATGAGACAAGCAAATTGTTGATAAAATTAAAAAAATTGCATTTTCTTTTGAAATTAAATTGGAAAAGAGTATTTTTAAGTATATTGATTGCATTTGGATATAAATTTCTTGTGGTGGAAAATCATGTATTTCATTTGAAATACTCCGAAAATTAATTTCTCAATTTCAAATTTTCTATTTAAAGTTGACGCTGAAATAATGAAAAACATCGTAAATAGAACAGTGACTTTTGAAGAGGCTTTGCGTTTGAATTGTATATCCTTTCACAGATCCTGCCATTGGGGTTGGCCGGCGATCCTGCACCCAGCTTGATTTTCTAAAAGACCTTTGCCATACATTTTGTCAAAATAAATTTAGTTTTTATTTGGTAAATATATGTTTGGCCATAGATTTTATCTACATTTTGACCAAATCCCAAATCATAGCTGGTTTTGGACCAAAATATCACTATTATATTTTTTAAAAATTGTCCCAAACTTTTATATTTTATAAAAAAGCCCACCATTTATTATTTTATAATGATGTTGTTTCGTCTTCACGGTCATCTGATAGTGTATTATGTAGTTCATTATAAAAACGATAATTTTGTATCAAATTTATTTATGTTCATGACTATGGTTTGCGATAATATAATGAATGTTATTGATAATGGTACTGTTGGATATTTGTGATAGTTTTTAAAACTTATGGGTATAAGTCATGTTTCATGTTTTTCCAAATCAAAATTCACCCAAAACAGATGTCCAAACATATTTTCATCCTCAAACCAAACTTCACCCAAATTAGATTTTTCAGAATAAATTTAGGAATCTATGGCCAAACGCTAGCTAAATTTTTTGACCAGCTTAATTATGGTAACTTGTAAATTAACATGCAAATAATAAGGTTCTAATATTGCAATATTAAATACTATTATCTTGTCCTGAATATTAATCATCATATCATATCATATCATACTATATTATAAGCATGAAGATCAAAAGTTGAATGTGAAAGACTAAAATAACCCTATACTATTATTGGACTTTTATGCCCTTAAAAGTTATTTTAATAATACCTTCAATATTAATAACAAAAGTTAGTTTTGTAACATTAAACTTGACTTGGGAATTATCAAAGAATTTAGTAAGGTCCATGTATCTAAATTCTTCACTTTACAAAGTTAAGCTCTTTAACTTCAGCTTATAGTAATTTTTTTGAGCTAACATTTACAATTCTTAAAAAGTCAAATAATTTTTTTGAGCTAATATTTTATCTTCTCCTTTTGTTTTTCTTAGCTTAAATATTTAGATTATTATTATAAATGATTTCTAAGCGCAATCTTTTTCTTATAAATACAATTATGATTCAAAGCGTTTTACTATTCATGTACAAGACGATATAATTTTTTACTAATTATATGGAATAGGCGTGCAATGCGCGTGCCCAAGGACAAGTAAAGAAGAAAAATGGAAGACTTTTAAAGCCTGAAACTGTCAATTGAACCATATGTTGAGGTCCTGTTGTTAGTCATATTAATCCGTTTTATATCAATATAATAATTTCTCAGTCTCACTTTATGTGATGCATAGAGTCAAATGAATTTTTGTTGGAAATTTTACCTCCTATAGCAAAGGTTGATACCTTATTTATTATAAATAAATACCCTTTAAAAAAATTATCTCCTATAGCTATCTTTTAATTTTTATAGCAAAATATCTATTTATGGTCACTTTCTACCTTTAAGCCATTAAATACGCTGTGTATTATTTTTCTCTCATATTTTTTTTTCTCTCGCAAAATTACCGTATAGGAAGTAAACTTATCTCTCCCTCTCTTCTCCTTTCTCTTTCCTCTTTCTCCTCTTTTTCCCCCGGTTTTTTCCTCCCCTGCTTTTAGAAACCCTAGTAGGGGCTGTGTTCCGCCGACGACAGATCCGGCCAGCGACCACTTCCCCCTTCCTTGTTGTGTNCCTCCCCCCCTATTTTTTCCTCCCTTGCTTTAGAAACCCTAGCAGGGGGTTGTGCCGACGACCACTTCCCCCCTTCCTTGTTGTGCTGCATTCAACTTTTTTTGCTCCAAAGAGTTATGGTAAGTAGAAACAAAGATCTGAAAAAAAAAAAGGATAAAGGAGAAACAAAGATATGGAGAAATACAAGTGCAGATCTCAAAATTTTCAAAGCAAAAATGAGAGATTCACTACCTGGACGACTTAGAGGGCGCCGGTACCAGCGGCGACGCCCCACATGGTGGCGGCCTGGATATCGGTGGACTGGGGACGGAGTTTGGGGCTGAGGAATTTGAAGAGTCTGTTATCCTTTTTTTCATTGTATTTCAATGTATCTCGCTGTATTCCATGTATTTTATTGTATTCACTGTCTTTAGTTTTTTTCTACTTTTTTAATATATTCACTGTATTTAACTGTATTCAATGTAATTATATAATTTCAAAGCTCCACTTTGTTTTACTGTTTGTCCAGCAGTATATATTTAACAGTATGTATTCAATGTATTGTAGAATGTATTCATATATTTTTTTAATTAATATAATTTATGTATTCAGATGTTTATATGTATTCAAATGTATCTTGAATATGTATTCATATGTTTTTGCACTTTAGATGACCTGCTATACTTCGTGTATGCAATGTATTTTTATGTATTTAACTGTATTCAATGTAATTATATAATTTTAATATATAAATCTATTAGTAAAGATACCACTAAAAAAAGAAAGATGGATTGAATCTCTGAAGATTGCTCTGTTTTTGGAGTGTTTTTCGGTTGATAATCTTTTCAATAACTGAAAATACAAATTTTGTGTATCATAAGTGAGTTTGTTGAGTTATATTAGGAGTCTATCGCGTTAATTGATTCACTTACCATTTTTAAACAGCTGAATCCCTTTTTTTTTCGCAAATTTCGTTTTGTATTCACGAATACAACTCGCGAATACATATGAATACAGTCTATACGTTAGCTATAATTCCCTTTTTTTCGCCGACTTTTCCTATTGTATTCATGAATACATTAGCTTAAATATATCGAATACACTCTATAACAAGTTAAAACATAGCTATAGGAAGTAATTTAGTAAATAGTAGCTATGGCAAGCTAATAATCACTAAAACATAGTGATTTCTGAAAATTTTTCATTTTTGTTTGACTGCGATTTTATCATGTCTTTTAAATTTTTTAAATTATTATGATTTATAGTAGCTTATGTACTTTTTATAAATATAAATATTATTTTTAAAAAATTGAAGATTCTTTGTCCTAATTTACATCCAAAATTAGATAGTATCGTATCACATAAAGTAGGAAAGAGAGAATAATAACTTTTTAGTAGGATTTGGAATAATCTTTCAATCCGCAGGACTGGCCTAGTTCTTCCACCATTGCCAATTCACTTTAATTTCACACACAAAAAAAATAATAATCAAAGAGGTTTAATTGGTAGAGAATTTTAAGAAGAGTACTATGATTCTTTTGTAACTTTGACTTTTTGATTCTATACTGTTTTTAGGCGGAACAATCTCGTTATGTCAGGGTATTCGTTGGTCGGTACGATACGGTATTTAGATATTTCGGTTCGGTATTTTTAGTATTCCGTTTCTTAAAATATTATACCAATATTGTACCTAATTAAATTCAGTATAGTTCGATTTTTCTTCTTTCGGTAACTTCGATTTATTCGATTTGAATACTACCTAGTGCATAAAGTCATAGACTGTAATATTCTTAATTAAAGTACTCAAAAGTACAAAAATAAAAATCGTTTGTTGACAAAAATTTTGTCCAAAATCTGCAAATATCAACCCAGAGAAAAAAATATACATAAAGGAATAAATTTGATCATTAGAAATTTCTTGTTACTTGATTAGAGTTAATTGATAAACTTAGAGAATAAAGGAAAGTAAAATTTTAGATTTTTTATATTTATGTTATAATTAATAATATGTGTATTGAGTATATAATATATATTTCGGTACTGTATCGATATTTCGGTATTTCATTTTAAAATACCAAATACCATGCCTAATACCATTTTTTTAAAAAACTTATCAAATACCATACGAATACCAAATACCAAAATTTTCGGTTTCGGTACAGTAAATTTACCGAATTATGCACAGCCCTACCTTACGGAAATAGCCAATTAAGAATTCCCCGGAAAATAATTAAGCGAAACGCATTAAAAACCTTCTAGAATCAGTGAAATTGACGGAGTGTTTTTCATTAAAACCTCCAGGCTCCAAACAAAAATGTCAAAGCAGTCTAGTTTAAGAGTGTGATTGGTATCAGGGAACTCATTTTCTGTGAAAAACATTTTTCCTTAAAATAGATAAATATTTTTCTGGAATTTGGATTTTTGGTTGATGAGGGGAAAATATTTTTGGAAAATATATACATTAAACATTAATAGTAATAATATTAACAAATTCGAGAGCCTGTTGAATGTTGATGAAATTTTGAGTACTAAAGGAAATGTTCAAGAACTAGAAATACAAAAAGGAAATGTTCGAAAAGAATGAACAAATATAATCCAAAGTTAGGTAAAGAATAGAAAGCAACTCAAATACATATGTTTTGTATGGTGTATCAAATTAAGATATTCAACCTAGTTAATATCAGGCAGTGTTCAGTTAGCTAATATCTCCATATTTTGTACTTCCTCGCATTCTGATGCGCGTCTGCGTTGGGTTGCTTCAACCTTCTTCCAATTCACCTCTTCATTGAGTTCCGTATCTCTACGACAAGAGCCGTACACACTTCTGAAGTGTAAGAGAGTGTTATCTCCAAAAGTCCCACTAGCATAGATCCCATATAACTCTGTTCACCAAGAGGCTCAGGCAAATAGGAAGTGAACACTTAGGGTTTTTGCGACTTTGGTGGGAATTGAACCCTGGTCTCCAATGATTTTCATCCCACTTCATTGAGGGGTGTATTGACCTTCTTATTCTTCGTATGAAAATAAAATATACAATAACAACAACCAAGTGAAATCACACTAGTGGGATTTGGGGAGAATAGTGTGTATGCAGACCTTACCCTTACCCCGAGGGTAGAAAGGCTGTTTCCCATAGACCTTCGGCTCAGGAAGACGAATCGGAGAATACAATATATGAGGTGTTAATCCACATGTCTTTGCTGCCAATAGATGCATGCTTCAGTGATATGTTCTATTAACTTCTAGCTTTCTCTTATCTTCAAACTTATTCTCCCCCTGACATCTCCAATTTCGCCAGTCAGCAGCTCATTGGCCAGGAGGAGCATTTCAAAGCAATCCACTAAGATGAGAAATAGCCATTGTGAGAGCTCAGTTCTGTGCCATCATCAAGTTCCTGTCAGATGGTTTTCTTCTGCTTCTTTGTTTCTATAATTTATGAGTTTTGACAACCCTTTGCACTCACTTTTGCTATGAATTCTAGGCACTCAATTCAATTTCTATGAATTCAACTTCTTCCCGAGCCTCCTAAAATATAAGAATTTGTTCAAATGAAAAACTTAAGACATGGAGCCTGGAGAACGTAAGAGCATAATTTGGAAATGCAGAATGAGGACAATGTCAGGCATATATTGTCCGAGTTAACAAGTTATGCAAGTCATGTAACAAACCAAGCAAAACGAGAATCATCTCTCTTGAAAACTCTAGTGCTGTATTTGGCGCCCTTCAAGGTCACTAAAAGAGAACAATAATAGAAGATGTGATTTTTAAGAATCTATCAATAAAGGGTATTTGTATGGAAACTGATTTTTCATTTTTATTTTCCTAATCTTGTGATTATAGTTCTTATAGTTCTGTATGCTATAGCTTCCGGTCTTCATAAATTTCTCAGTTGATCTGAACTCTGCATGACGGGTAGGATAGACTAAGTGGATCGGAAAAGCCCTAGCCAAATCCAGATTTTGAGCTCTAACCAATCACATTGCATTCTCAAAAAATCAGAACACTGGTTATAACGAATTATTTAACCAAATGAATTATCTATCCTCTAAGTAGATATAAACTTCAGCCCTATGCCAAATAAGGTAATCAAATCTGACCACCAACATAATTCGAATTCAACTTCAAAATATAAACTCAAGTGTTAAAAAGTCAGAATGCGTTACCAATGAGCATACAAATACTCAATTTCTTCGGAAAAGGCCAGATGTATCAGAAACATGTTTGCTTAGGGAAGCCATAGATAAAACATAAAACAAGATCATTGCCAAACAGCGATTCAAACTTCAAATCTTCAGACTATGCATTAAAAGAAAATCAAAGTAGTTCCTGGATTGCTGTTTGTAGAAAATTTACCTGCTTTTGCATTCATGAAAAACAACCAACTCTATTCTGAATACCAGCCATATGAATTGCCCACCATTACTTTAAAAAAAACAATTTCCCACTTTAGACCAGAAGAACAACTGTTTAAACAATGTTGCATGCTATGCAAATGCTGAATTCACTAGTTTATGGAAGAACATCATACCTGAACTCACTCCTCTAAACCTGAAAGTTCTTCTCATAACGAGTTATCAACATTGGGGCGTTTAATGGACGCCTTCTGGTATCTCAGTTTTTCAATCTCCTTCTCCAGAAAGTCCAAAGTTGTGTCAGTGACGTGATTGGGGGCACACCCTGCTTCCAACATCATCCTTAAAAACTTGTAAGCTTGCTTAAGCTGACCTGCCTTGGCATGAACTTCAATTAGTGTATTGTAAGTGACAACATCTGGATTGATTCCACTATCTTTCATCTGCCGGAAAAGCTTGTTTACTTCCTCAATTCTTCCAGCCTTCCCGAGCGCATTTATCAAGGTGTTATACATTACAATGTCAAGGTAACCCCCCTGTTTCATCAGCTTGTCGAGCACTGCACCAGCAAGATCAGCCCTTCCCATCTTTCCCAACCCCTGGATTATCACATTGTAAGTTGCTACATCAGCAGGGCAAACCTTCTCGCCCATTTCCTGTAAAACACCCAAGGCCTGGTCGAAATATCCCTTCTTGACAAATGAACCCATCATAGAGTTGTAAGTATAACTAACAGGGTCAGCACCCATGCCGGTGAAAATTTCAAATAACTTACAGGCCATGCTCAATTTTCCTTTGGCCAAAAATATTGATAAGAAGGTATTCACCATGCCAATATCAAAAGAATCTGCACCTTTAGTGTCTACTCGTTTTGCTCTGGTAAGAGAGAATGTTCTTGTAGCATGACTTTGGGAGCTCGCTTTACTAGCCAGCATGTCCATATATGGTGATGATGACCACGGATCCCTCTCATCCTCTGCCCCAAGGGCAGTATCAGTCGCAGGGACTGTTAAATCTTCTAGGCTTAGAATATCACCAAAGTTCCCATTTGATGGAAAAATGGGTGTAAAATCCTTTTCTCTGCTCTGTGGAGCTTTCATTGTAGCTTCCATACTGTCTTTCCACCTGAGAATAATTGGAACTAAATTGTTCTCCCTAACGTGTTTCACAAGCCTCTCTGTATAGTCCCAATGCCCCTCCCGGTAAATTGCAATCAAAAGAGAAGTAATGGTAACCAAATCAACAGTAAACCCTCTAGCTTCCATCTCTTCCACCAACTTCAGTGCTTCATCAAGCCTACCTTCCTGACAAAGATGCAAAATGACAATGCTATAAGTAACCCCATCCACAAAATTATTACTTTTCTTCTTCAAATCACAGAATAGGGTATAAGCAGCCAAAGCCCTCCCATTCTTAAACAAGCCATCAATAAGAATATTATAGGTCCAACAACTGGCTCGAACACCATCATCTTCAATCATTTTCTGAAACAAATTGCACGCATCTGTCAATTTTCTCGCCTTGAGCAATCCATCTAAGAGGGAGTTATAAACAATAGTATCCGGACGTATACCGTTATACTGCATCTCACTGAACACTTTTATCGCATCATTTATCAGGTAAGCCTTAGAGCAACCTTGTATAACAATTCGATAAGTATAAACATCAGGTTCCAAACCCGAAGATCCCTTCAATTCCTCCCACACAACAAGAGCATCCTTAACCTTCCCGAGCAAGCAAAGCACATGAATCAAGCTATTATAAGTGCACAAGTCGGGACTAAACCAACTTCCCCTTTCCTTCATTTCTTTAAAAAGACTCAAGCAACTAGACAAATCCCCCCAACACCCGAATGCGTGAATGCATATATTATATCCCCATCTATCCAACGGAAAAATATTCTTCTTTCCTCTAAGCTTATCAAAAACTTGTTTAAATTCATCCCTCATATTAGCCCTCTTAAGACCAACAAGAAACACATTACATGCAACAGCATCGCTAATCCCAATGCTATTACCATTCCCATCATAAGTTTCCAACAATTTAAGGAAAATTGACAAAGCTAAATTAACTTGATTTTTTTTTACAAGTGCAATAAGTACAGAATTATACACATCAGGACTTAAACAATTAATATTAGAATTTTTCAGATTACTCTCCATGAATTCCAAAATCTCAAGAGCTGAATTAAAATTACCAGCTCGAGTAAACGAGTCGAGCAACAACTTAAATGTGGCCGAATTAAGCGACACTCCATCATGCTTCATGGAGTTGAGTAGAACGAAAATATCTTCCCGGTGATTGTGAAAATAATAATAGCAAATGGATCTGAACATTTGAGAGTAAGTTTCGGTGGAGTGTTTGAAATTGGGCCTGAGAGAGCACCATTTGAAGAAGTCGAGTTTAGTGGCGGCATCTAAATTGTTGCGGCGGAGGATTTGGAGGACTAGGGTTTCTGATAGGGGAATTGAATCGTTGTATTTTTCTAGGTTACGTGTTCCTCCTGGTGCTGTCAAAGCTTTTGTAATTGAAGCGACGACGAGTAAGTTTCCAATCTTCGATGCTGCCGGAGACCTCGTTCCGGCGACTTTGGCTCCGACGACGGTGAAGTGTCTTCTAGTGTAGAAAATTGAGAGGTTTCTTTGTGCTGTTGTGGCCATAGCAGCGGTAAGGTTTTTGATTTATTGAAACAAAGATGGCGGAAGCTAATGCTGTAATTACATTTTAAACCCTTTTTATTTTTTTGTTTGTCTCAATTTCGNATATATATATATAGAGAGAGAGAGAGAGAGAGAGAGATAGATGTGCTCCATCCCCACAAAAATTAGTTAAAACAATCTATTATACGCTACTTACAAGCATAAATAACTTGAGTCGAAAAGAATAAAATTTTCTACATGGAGGAACAAAAAGGATGACTAACCTACAATTTGAACTTTGAACCTGCTACTATAAAGGATAATAGAGTTCTCTTTGTATTTAATTTGTAAAAAAAATTAAATATTCGTTGCTTTTGAGAGATATTAGCAAACTAGCTTACAAGATAAATAATTGGGAAAGACCATGAATTAGGAATTCAATCAATAAAAAATGTCTTGACTTTTAAATTTAATACATTTCAGTTCCTTTTTAAAACTTTTGAGTAATTACCAAGCTGACTTTTGAAAATTTGGGTATTATATGAAGGACTTATTCAACAAATTTTGTTTTAATTTGAAAAAGTCTCTGGGGCTTACGTCTCACTAAAAAACACACCTCAAACGTCCGGGCGTACGCCTCTTAAAACTTTCGCCCCACACCATCGCCTCGGGGCATTTTTGGTGCGCCTCGCCCTAGGGCTCGCCCCGAAAACGCCTTTTAAAACACTAATTTGACCCAGGTTGAGCTAAACAAAATGAACAAGTTGGGTCGTTATCCATTTGTTGATTTGAATTGTTTTGACCCGTCCAAATTTGATTGTGACTCACCTTGAGCTAAGCAAAATGGCCAAGTTGGATCACGATCCATTTGTTGATTTGACTTGTTTTGACCTGTCCAAAATTGATTGAACTAGCTCATTATTAGAGATAAGGTTCATTAGTTGTACTGAATATACAGTTACTTATATGTACTCATACTTGAAATTATTGCATGTTAATTTGCAGACGCCTTGACTTTTTTCAACCTACAAACAATATAGATATCGAACAGCTCTGTGACCAAGACTTATCTGATAAAAATATATTGATAACCTCCCTCTAATTTATGGACTAAAGTGGAAACCTTCCAATTTTTACAAAAGCTGAGGGCCATACGAACAATGGCGGAATTATTAAATACAGTTTGGAGCATCAAATTGTCTTGAGTTGAATTGATTGGAGATATTAAGAGAAGAGTTGCAAAATATAAGAAACCTTATGAGGGTAGGGTAAAGTATTGTGCTGCCTATCCCAAAATGATCGTAGCTTGATTCAACACAAAAATTTATATTATGTGTATACGTTTGGATTCTATAATACACGTACTTGTAGTATAATAACTATTCGTAAAGTTTTTCACTTAGAGGAGAGTAAATTTTACGTTTGTGGTATGGATTAAAAAGATAAGACATTTCAATTGAAAGAAAAAATATTTTTTACGAGGAAAACAAGTTGGTTAACTAATGTACAAACAAATCTCCTTATCTCATAAGAAAAATCAAAACCAGATTTTGTCATAGAGATCTGAGCCAGCGACTTGTTATAACTGAAATGTCCAGCAAGATCGTGGATGACAATTGTAAGATCAATAACGTCACACGCTCGGGGAAGTGCACAGATAGACACTAATTAGAGATTGTCTTTATTTTTTAGCCACTATTTTAAATATATTTACTCTCTAGCCAGTACTAAATATATTTTTACCCGTCCGAACAAAAATACCCATGTGCTAGACATGGTTGCTGTGTAAATATTAAGGACATGGTGTCCTTAATTTCATGAGTGTTGTGTAAATATTAAGGACAAAGTGTCATGTATTTGCAACTTCTGCTGTTAAACTTTAGGACATCATGTCCTTAACTTCATATGTGCAGTGTAAATGTTAAGAACATGGTATCCTTAACTTCATATGTGCAGTGTAAATGTTAAGAACATGGTGTCCTTAACTTCATGTATGCAATGTAAACGTTAAGGACATAGTGTCCTTAACTTGTATTTGCAATTTCTATTGTTAAACTTTAGGACATCATGTCCTTAACTTCATATGTGCAGTGTAAATGTTAAGGACATGGTGTCCTTAACTTCATGTGTGCAATGTAAATGTTAAGGACATAATATCCTTAACTTGTATTTGCACCTTCTATTGTTAAACTTTAGGACATCATGTCCTTAACTTCATATGTGCAGTATTAATGTTAAAGACATGGTGTCCTTAACTTCATGTGTACATTGTAAATATTAAGGAAATAGTGTCCTTAACTTTATGAGTATTGTGTAAATATTAAGGACATGGTGTCCTTAACTTCATGAGTGATGTGTAAATATTAAGGACATGATGTCCTTACCTTCATGAGTGATGTGTAAATATTAAAGACATAGTTTGTCATTAATATTTACACAACAATTATGAAATTAAGGACACCATGTCCTTAATATTTACGCACCACTCATGAAGAAAGGGTAAAAATGACTTTTCGTATCAATTTTAATAGAGTAGTGGCTATTTTTGCTCAACATTAAAAATGGCTTGCAAGGAAAATCTTGATTGAAAGTCCATATCTTTCTATTTTCCTCTATCTCCGGCTAGAAAAGAATGTATGCGTCAAACTTTGATGTCTCACTGGTTTAGATACGACGAGATAATCATCAAAGTTCGGGAATCTCAACTGGAATACCACTTAAAAAAGTGGCTATACCACGCCATTTCTTGGCAAAGTGAAGTGTATGATTTTCAAAATTGAGAATTTTTTTCGGTTACCATATTCGATATCTATGAGATAAGTTCCTTAGAAAAACAAACGAACCATAATCAAACTCATCGCATGATTGCCACCTTAGAGTTAAACTCAAGGGGAAAACCCCCAATTTTCAAAGTACTCCGCTAATAAATCATACCGCTATATTTTCCACCGTAGACACACAAAAGCTATAACAGCTTTTGGGGGGGGGGGGGGGGGGGGGGGTGTAAGAGGGAGATATTTAAGTGTTGACACAGTCATATCCATACACATTTTAGTTTTTGTGAATTGGATCTGAACTGCATTATCAATCACCCAAATTCAACTACAAGCACCCACATTAGTATAAAGTGAAAGGTTGGAGACTAAATGAATAGCACTAAAATGGATCAAAATTACTGTTGTATTGGTCTTACTTTTGAGCCTTTTCCTCTTCGGTTGTTTCCTCTTCAGCATCTTCTATTTCACTGGCTAACTTCACCAGATCTTGGACGAGGATTTTCCCTTCTGTTACAATATATACCAACTAATAGTTAATACAAAAGAGGGAAAAAATGATATTATTAAGGATATCGATCATAGACAAATAATATAGCGCTCTCTGTCCCAATTTATGATTATTAAGGATATCGATCATAGACAAATAATATAGCGCTCTCTGTCCCAATTTATGATTATTAAGGATATCGATCATAGACAAATAATATAGCGCTCTCTGTCCCAATTTATGTGCAACATCTTCTATTCTGAAACATTTGACATTTCTAAAATAACACAGCAACATTTTTAAACATTTCACTATAAAATTCAAACCAAGCCTTGGCGTGATGCTTACCAGATCTCATTCAACAATCAATCACTTAAATTTGTTCTACTATTACCACTATAATAGGCAAGTCAAATTAACTTTAAATCTCCAGATATAGTTGAAGCTTGGTCATGTATAATTGGAAGTCACAGAACAAAAAAAAATCGTGTTACTCCATCCAAGCCAAGAAACTAAACTTAAAGTTTGAGACTAAGTGGAGAATACCCTTCCTTCAATTGAACTGCTATTTAAAGTCAACTTCTACCTTTAAAATTGATAGAACATCCCGACTCCTGGAACCTCCTTCTCTTGCGGCTTTAATTCATGACCATTTATTGTTCAATATCTTTGATTGGAGGAATCAAATGTGCGGGTTGACTTAAACTTGCGTTGGTCAAAACGGGTCATAAACCTACCAAGCCAACGGTTATTTGGGTTTATATGGGTTGAGTCAAGATGGCTTAATAATGGGTTGAAGCAGAACTTTCTCAACATGACCCAACTTCCCCTCCTTTTTTGTTTTTCTTTTTGAAAAGAGAATGTGAAAGCTAGCAATGATTTTGTGAAATGTTTGAAATGATTTAGTTAACTGATTGAGTGAATCATTCTCCAATCTATTTCCAATTGATGTGCCCGTTTTATTTGTGATCTGTACAATAATAATGTTTATCTTGTTGAAATAAATTTTCAAACGTTCAGTTTTTTAAACATATATTTCCAAACATGTATAGACAACAAGTTGAAGCATATAAAAAGAAATAGACTATAAATTACTAGTGTTACATCAATCTCTTTGTGATGAAAATACTTGCGAATATTTGATTTTTCATAATAAAAGATTCTACCATCGACTCTTTCCATATCAAATTAATATGGGAGGGATTAAGAGAAAAGCTGAAAGATTGGACTGTTTAGTGTTTGCTAAAAAAAATATGTAGACTTGAAGAAAAAACAAGCACTATATAACAGTAAAAGCAGATTACTAATGAAAAGTATTGTATATAACTTATCTGCGAGAAATATTTTTTTAATAACAAAAGAATAAGCACACCAGCCTTTTACAAGTGACTCTTCAGTGGATCATAGGACCAGAGAAAAATATTTCGTTTTTGAGTTGCCAATCCTGTAGAGGATTTGCCTTTGGCGGGAGCCAAAAAGAGAAGCAAATTCAACTTAGTTTTGGAGAAAGGAAGCAAAAGAGAAAGAAGTAAAAGGGTAAAGTTATATAACTTTGGCATACAGCTTGTATACGGAGTTTCTCCTACATTAATAAAATTATGTACATAATCCAAAAAATTACGCCGGGTATGACTTGGATTTTAACCCGTCAGGTTACATTGTTTGAATCGATTACCCAAAATTTCCATGGTCCTTTTTGGGTTCAACCCAGTATGATCCATCAACTATTTTATAAATAACCCAACCCATCCAAGCTCGAACATTGGGCAGGTTACACAATATGGATTGTTCCACCGCAAATCATTATCATAGAGGTTTTATAATAGTCAGAGATCCCAGTTAACCATTACTAACTACTGATGAATAGAGAAGAGAATCTAGAGTTAAATTTACTAACTGCTATTGATGGGCTCTATAATGTGACAACATTGGTTTTTTTTTTTTGGGTGGGGGATAAATCGACACTAGTTAATACTCCTTCTATCCCATTTTATGGGATGCAGTTACTATTTTGAAGAGTCAAAAAACTTGTCCTCTAAATAAAATTTGATTTTGAACTACATGATTATGCACTTCTGTATAGTTTTTACACAAAATTTTCCCTTCCGCAGTATGAATGACCAATGCCACAGCCAACCCAAAAATTAACTAGTTTGACAAACTGAGCAAGCCATACCATCCTTCTTGGACAAAAGGGGGACAATAATTTGACGTCAGATTATAAAGTATAAACATCATTCTTACTTTTCCACTGTAACCTATAATAGTTGCCTGCCATTTTATCATCGTCCTTAAATGCATTCTCAATCTCAAATATAGTTGCATCTAAAAAAAATACTCTGGAAACCCTATTAAACTACACTCACTGCAACAAGTTATCTCTTTTGTTTTTTTCCTTATTATTATTATTACTATTTTTTTCTTTGATAAGTACAGCAACAAGATATCTCTTTTGTTTCATCAAGCAGCAAGCAATCACCAACGTCAAAATGTCAATCCAAATTTTACTGAATTTCTTACGCTAGGTTATCTTTTTTATTCCCCCTAGGTCCACAAAAATACATCAGACATTGGGAGGTACAGTTGTAAAGTTGGAAAAAAAAAACGTTAATGACAGATGGAAACAAAAATTATCAAAGAACTATTCATGTCTAACCTCTGTCCTTGGAAAGGTTGGCTATGAGCTCCTGAATGCCCTCCTTAGCCAATGTATCCTTGAGGTATGCAGCAGCAGATGCCACCTCCTCTGGAGTGACTTTCCCATCATAATCCCTGCCACAGGACGCAAAAGAGTTACCTTCATTCGCCAATTAACTTCCAAGTAGAAACTAAAAGCAGCAGAAAGTAATATAGGAGAAACAATAAACAAGATTTCTCCATGGAGGAAACTTTTTCTTTTTTATATGGTTGATAGTTCAGCTAGAGAAACAAGTAATCCTATTACGAAATACAAAGATTTTAGTTTTAGCCCGATCACAAAGGAGAAGGATACCAATTTCTACATTAACCAAAGATACAGGACGCACAGGTGCATTGACATACACCAAATTAACTCATCTGACATTTGCATCCGATGCTAGGATTTTCTGAAACGAAAGACACTCCATACACTACATTATCTACCAGAACCACTATCAGTGGCTAATGAGAACTCCTCCAACCCTAAGCTTTCCTCATGATACAAAACATGTACATGAAAACAGTAAATTGATAGCTCACAGGTGATAATGCTGAAATTACTTCAAATGAACAAGCTGACAGAACATGTATATATTGGGATATAAAACCTCAATATTCACTTTCAAACTTGTAATTATCTCTTTTACGTTGAGCAGTGGCAGTAGTAGTTCATTAAACTCGGTGAAAAATAGAAACTGTTCAGATTGTTTAGAACTGCCTCTTTTCTTTTTTGATAAGGTAGAACTCTCTCTCTTCTTTTTTTCCTTCTCTTTTTTCTCTTCTTTTTTTGATAAAGTAGAACTGCTGCCTCTTTTTAAATTTCTAGATAGTACCTCTAGCGCAATTTGTAGTCCATATAACTAGCTTCTATATACATACCTATCCAGTAACCGCCAACGATTACCAATCTTGGCATCTACATCATCAATTTCCTTTTCAAGTTTTTGGAGCATTACATCAACCTGTTGAGTGGTAATTACAGGAGGTATGTGAGTTTTCATGAATAATCTTGCAACTACAATGCAAAAAAGAAATCAAGAATTGGTGCAATTTTAAAGCCCTAGCTAAATATTCCTAGGATAATCAGCTTTACCCTGTTAATAAGTGCTGATGAAACTTTATCGTCCACAGTCCGTTCTTTATTGTGGTCAGTGTCTTCCTCCCTAGCAGCTTTATATGCCTTTCGGGCTTCTTCTTCACCTTCAGGGCCCCCTTTATCCACCATGCTATTGTACAACTCTATCTGCAATTATCAAAACAAAAATAGCTTCAACGTTGAATTTGTAGTGTTTCCATTGTATTAGCATACATATGCACTATGCTGTCAAAAGAATTTATAGTCACAAAAACAACTAGGAATATGATTGCAAGAGGACAAGGTGACTGAAAGCAGTCAAGGAATAAGTGTCACATCTGAAAGTTCTAAAGTTTCCCAACCATCCTCCATCCTCCTTCCTCCTTACGGTAGTACCACATTTGTCTTTATATAATAGAAATTTTATTAAATACTGCAGTAGACCTAAAAGAACAGCAAAGCAAGCAGGTTGGGTACCCGAGCACATATCCAATTAGATTCTACTGTCCAAAACCTGCCTAGTGTGCTCTTTTAAGGTTTGTAATCTATCACATTGATGATTGAACATGCCCCAGTTAGAAGCCTAGAAAAGATAGCTACCCATAAACAAGGTGCAATGAGTAATTGAAAGAAGGAAAACCAATAAAGACATAAAATAACATGGCTGATGCTGGAAGATCAAAATAACAAAACGCAATAATTTTAGAGTGCACCATCTCCAGATATCGCTGCATAATACTTTAAAAGGTACTACTAATTAAGCCTCACATAATGCCGATGACTAAAAGGTGTTATTACCAGAGCTCTTTAGAAAATGCCCAGTATAATCTTAAGATCGTTAATGGAAAACATATAACAGGTACGAGCTATTGAAACAAGCATAGATAACAAACTATGGTGGTATCAGATATCCGAGGGACAATTCAAGTCACATTGATGAACATTCCAGAAATTTCATCAGAATCACTAAGCTATTGGAAATCAGGAGAAACTCATACGACTCCCATTACAACCACAGCCACAAATAAGCTAATTGCGATTAAAGTTCTCAAAAGGAAATTGATACAAAGTTCAATTTTTAGCAATCTTGAACTAATAGACAATGCAAGTTCTCAAAAGGAAATTGATACAAAGTTCAATTTTTAGCAATCTTGAACTAATAGACAATGCAAGTTCTCAAAAGGAAATTGATACAAAGTTCAATTTTTAGCAATCTTGAACTAATAGACAATGCAACCCCTTCAAACCGGAAAGAGAAGTAATGGAAGGTCATTCATATTATTTAAATAATGATAAACAAAATAATCTGACTTCAAAAAGCAGGTTCTCCAGTTTAGTTTCTTTAAACAAAACAACAAACAGAAAACAAAGAACTGAATTAACTAGAACTAGCATGAAATCTAGAAAGACAGTTCGCTTTTGCTTAAATTCCTTATCAGGCATGTTACAATATTTCAAAACGGTAATAGCTCAAGCAATGATATATTACCTCTTTCTTGACAAGTCTCAAAAACTCATGACGCTCCAGGCTTACAGACTGAAAGAATAAGCAACAAAGCAGGACATGATTAGCAAAGATCCAATTTACCAAAGAAAAACTCCATACTAATACTTACCGAAGCCGATGCTAAAACAGCCAATGCACGACTAAGCTCACAAAGCTGCTCTTGTTGATCCAAAGTTTTGGTTTTCTTTAGTTCTTCTGCTTCTTTAGCTGTTGCAAGAGTCATCTCTTCCAAAGCTACATCCTTCTGCTTTTCTTTCATCTTAGCCTGCTCTTCTTCTTCTTCCTCTTCCTCTTCCTAAAAGAAATGACTTTAGAATTAGTAGTCTACACAGTAATTTTTGATAAGGTAAATAATTTCATTAATAACGGGAAAATCACACGTATACAAGCAGTATACTGAAAGGTAGAGAATTACAGCATAATATGATTCTCTATGAACGCCATGCAATCTTCTATACGCACTGTAACTCCATGGGTGTGCCATAAAGAGACTAGGAATGAGAGGCTATTCCTCAAATGTACATAGTTCTTTCATTCCACAAAGATACTTATACTACAAACGCTACGAAATCAGAGGTAAGTTTTAAAATGGTCAACAGTTATCTTCAATCAACATCACATAATTATAACATTTGAAAGCTGACACTGTAATATGTACATTTAAAATTTTGCACCCAAAAAAGCAAAAAATATGCTTGAAGAAAGAATTGGACATGAATTGGGCCAAGGAGGATTAGCAAGTGTATAAGGCAAGTGAAAAAGAGGATTTTGTATTATCCTCTCGGTCGCAAGTCTATCTTAAGTTTCCAATAACATAATTGTAAATAACAGTGATGTCAAACATTGAGCCAACTGCTTAGCTTCTCTCTTAACAAAACGGAAATGAAAAGGTTAAACTGAGAATATTTATTAGGAAAATCCTATGTAATTTTTTTGTGGCGTGTAGCACTATAGAACTGTCTTATCAGAAAAATGTACATTTTCTCTAACTCACTAACCAAGGACACTCAGTTTGGAGTAAAGTAATAAAAACTGAAAATTTGTCTTTCAAATCTTGCTAATAAATTCTGGAAACAACAGTATTCTAAACTTGAACAATATGAATTCTTCCCAATAGTTTAAATTTATAATGAGGTTTCATGTCCCGTAAAATTCAAAAACAAGATTTTACCTTGATGAGCTCTTCTTCCATTTCTAAGAACTCAAGCTTTCTCTTCCTTTCAGCAAGAGAATCTTCAGATGGCATTGATGTAACTTGAACAGTGTCCACCACTTCATCTGGCAGTGATGAAAGTGTAGCTTGAACAGCTTCCTCTGGTTTTACTTTGCCTGATACTGTGAAGGCTCTGACGAGAATAAAATAACATGGTAACATGCTCAGTTGATAGTCTAAATCACAAGATCCTGAAAACAGGGAATGGAATTACCTAGAAAGGATTAACAAAGAAGATGGTACTGAATGGTTGAGCGATAAGTCCAGCCAATCTCGCAACTGCAAAGATATTAGCATCCAAGAATCAAAGATAAGTCTTTTGCACTTTCATACTGAAGCCAATATATTGAAATACACAAGCAGGATTTGAGTTTGTTGCACCGGAGAATGAGAAGTAGTAAGTGCAGTGCGTTGTGCTTCAACTGATGTGTAAACACATTACAATAAATACCAGCCAGTCTTTGCCATTGTTTTCATTTTTTTCAACTACTTCACATCTAGTTGCATGTTAATGATATTTAGACTGCTGTAAATATTCCTTCTAGAAAATACAAAAGAGTGAAACAGAAGCAAGCCCACATATTATTCTTCTCGGCTCAGATTATTTGTTCCGTCATATACTCCATTCGAAGGCAACTGATCCTTGCATATAACGAACACCATCAGGTGTCCCATATTTTTGATGTACTTAACACATTTTCTTACACTGTCCAGTAGCTTCGAGGCTGCTCCTGAGATGGTTTGGAATACTTTGGGTGATGCCAGGCATTGTGCAAAGAGTTAATGTTCAGCTGGAATTATGGTAGAAGAAAGAGAAGACACGGGGCGTGGAAAGTTGCTCCACTAACATTTACGGCAGTCGTCTGAGAGAGAAATAAGAGAGCTTTGGAGGGTGTAGAGACGAATTTTGTACAATTGAGGAGTATTCTCTTATTCCTCTTTCTTTTGGTGCGCCCATGACGTTCCTTTATGTATAGAAGATTGAGTGATGTTAGTCCTTTACGAAACATTGATTACCTGAAAATGTTAAAATGACTTTTTTTCTCTCTGACTTGGGAAATGTGCCCTCTCATTATTCACTCTGATTTTTTCTCCGGTGAATACTTTTCTCCGACGGAATTATTTCTATTATGGGGGCAAAAGCTTTCTTTATTTCAGGGGACAAATATTTCGAAGTCATTAATATTGGGGATGATCTTTCTCGGTGGTTCTCTTTCACTGAGAGAGGCAGGCGGTTTACTAGCAAATGGAGCGGGTGATCTACACAGAAGATGGGGGAGAACACAACAACAATATATTTACAGGGTCTATCAAAACTACAACATTCATGGCAGATTTGTAAGAATTGAGGTATGGCAAGGGGGGTGAAAGAAGGCGGTGATCATTCCAAAGATTGATTACAACAAGGGTTGGGACGCAATAGCAGAGAAGATTCTGCGCTTCCGGGAGAAAACAAAAAAAATATTCCCAATCAGACCTCCAGCTCCAATGTTAAGATCATATCACGAAGCAGCAAGAATAGGAAGTTGGCCGGATGCCCCATTGAGTTCAAGCTCTAACACAGTGACAATGGCTTATACACACCCACTTTCTAGGAGCTTAGTTGGGGTTTTCAATGACCCCTTCCATCACAGTCCTAATACAGAAACCATTCAAAAATGGTTCACTACAAGATGGAAAATCACAGCAGGGATCAGAGTTACCCCAATAGATCACAATCGCTTCTTATTTGAATCCCCTTCTAGACAAGAGGCGATAAGAATCAAAGCTGGGGACTGGTTTTGGAAAGGCAGACATCTGTCGCTAATGCGGTGGTCGCCGATCATCGGCACAGAAGGTACGAGCCGCAAGTCGGAGAATCGATGGATTAAAGCTTTTGGGATACCTCTGCACGCTTGGTCACCGGAGACTTCAAATTTGTATGTGACTAGTGTGGAGGTTACATCGATGCAAATGAAGACACCAAAAACATAGCTCACTTCTTCTGGGCCAGAATTTGCATCAAGAACTCAGATGGGAATATTCCGGCGAACTTGAACCTCAAAGTGGGGGACTTAGGCTTTGATATCCAGATTCTGCAGGAGGACCGGGCACCTCCAAGACCCATTGGTCATAACCTCGTACCAAATACAGCAGCGAAGCAGTTGGTGGAAACCTCGAACAATGTGCCTCTCTATGAGTTCGCATCCATCCGTCTATCAATAGGGGATCACGCGAAGGAGAGAAATTTTATTTCAAAAAACCAGGTCATTCTAAATGGGGGAAACTGACCCGTCAAAGCTACTACTAAAGGTAGGTCAAACAAAGGGAATTTAAATATACGCATCAATTCTGGCTATTATTCAACAGGCCCAAAGCACAGGGTAAACCACAAAAGGCCCAAATCAAATCTGCTTTGGAGAGCAGTCGGGCCAATTAATGACCCATGCATTTTTAAGCCGTCTCCTTCACAGGCATCTTCCGACTACGATCCCCTCTCTCTCGAAATTCAAGCCTCCAAACTCATGGCAACCAACACCACAGGGGAAACTTCACACACTCAATTCGATGCCGATGATGAAGCTGAGCCTTTGATTCATTTTAATCCTCCTCCTCTACTGCCACAATTATTATCTGCAAATTCACCAAAGGTTAGTGAGCCAGAATCAGAATTCTCTTCGCAGTCACTCAATGACTTTCTCCCTTTGACTTGGCATGAGAGAGGAGATCTTTGCATGCAAGTGGTGGACACACCAACGGTATATGAGGCATCAAGGTGGACAAAGATGGCAATGTTAAAAGCTTGTAAAGCTTTTGGGGTTAATGCTGCAGGCTTTGAACATGAAATTATATGCATTATTTTAAGAATGGAAGAGAGAAGAAGAACTCAATTGCAGCAACATGCACAAACTGAGATGGAGTCTAGGAAAGGAAAGTCCAAAAGGGGAACAACTCAAAAAATTGGAGTGGGGTTTACAGGAGGGTAGTGGCAAGAAGGTTAGGGGCAGGTCTCAAAAAACTCACTCTAGATGAAGATAAAAAAATTTAAGTTGGAATGTACAGGGTTTAAACAAAAGGAATAAGAGAAGTACGCTAAAATCTCTCATTAACAAGTGGGGGCTGGACATTCTCTGTTTACAGGAGACTAAAATTGAAAACTGGAGCACTTCATTGATATGGGAAATATAGGGAAGCAGATGAGTGTCATGGATTGATCTTCCTGCATGTGACACCAAAGGGGGGATTCTGATTATGTGGGACAGGAGATTCTGACACTATGTTGATTCCCAATCTGGAACATTCACATTATCTTGCAGATTCGAGAGCTTAGCAAAAGGCTTCAACTGGGTGTTCACAGGAGTCTATGGACCTCACACAAACCCAGAAAGAACTAAAATGTGGTATGAACTAGCATCAATCAGAGGGCTTTGGTCTGATCAATGGGTAATTGGTGGTGTTTTCAACGTATGTAGGTTTGAAAGTGAAAGACTTAACTGCACAAGGAGGTCCAAAGCAATGAAGGGCTTCTCTGACACAATTCTAGACTTAAGCCTGATTGATATATCATTACAAGGAGCAGAATACACTTGGTCAAGAGGGGAGGATCACCTTCAGGCTTCAAGAATTGACAGATTCCTGATTTCTACTGAATGGAGTGACACCTTCAAAGTTGTAAAGCAGACTGTAATGCCTAGAGTTATTTTTGACCATAAACCAATCATGCTGGGTAGTGGAGACTGGAAAACTCACCATCTTATTTCAAATTTGAGAATATGTGGCTTCAAACTGAAGGTTTCTTGGACTTAGTAAAAGGTTGGTGGCAGTCCTACACAATTAGAGGCTCTCCTGACTTCATACTATCTCAGAAATTAAGGAGCCTCAAGCAGGACATTACAAAATGGAACAGGGAGATTTATGGCAAGATCGAAACTAAAAGAGACAGAGCTCTTGAAGAACTGGGAATGCTGGAGCAAATAGCAGAACAGAGGGAAATTAAAAGCTTTCAACCTGCGACTAGAACTCCAATAGATTGCAATTGCAAAGGAAACATCATGGAGACAAAAATCTAGGTGTTTATGACTGAAGGAGGGAAACAAGAGCACCAAGCATTTTCAAAGAATGGCAAACTCTAAGAGAAGAAACAATCATATTGACAAACTCAAAGTGGGTGAAGCCATAATTGAAGACAAGATACGCATCAATGAAGAAATTTTGGATTATTATCAGAAACTATACCATGTGTTGGAACCTTGGAGACGTACAACTAACTTTGGAGGGTTGTCTTCTTTAACCACTAAGGAGAGTGAAGGTTTAGAAGCACCATTTGATGAATTAGAGGTTCTGGCAGCTCTGAAAGCATGTGCCCCTGATAAAGCATCAGGTCCTGACGGGTATACTATGGCTTTCTTTCAAAAGTGTTGGGATGTCATCAAGGCAGATATTTTGAATACTCTTATTTACTATCATCAGCACAGTCATATGGTAAAATCTTGCAATGCCACATTCATTACACTTATACCTAAGAAGAAAGGAGCAATAGAGTAAAGGGATTTCAGACCTATTAGTCTAATAGGCAGATTGTACAAGATAACTGCTAAAATTATGGCTGAAAGACTAAAGATGATTGGCAAACTTGTTTCAGGTCAACAAAGTGCTTTCTTGAAAGATAGAGTAACACCAATGAAGTTTTGGATTGAAAACTCAAAAGTGGAGAAGCTGGGATATTGTGCAAGTTGGATATTGAAAAGGCTTTTGACCAATTAAATTGGTCATTCCTCATCAACATTCTGAAGGAGATGGGATTTGGAGACAGGTGGCTAAGATGGATTTTTTACAACATATCCACAGTTAAATACTCGGTGCTGGTTAACAGAAGTCCTGTAGGTTTCTTCTCCCTCGAAAAAGGCCTAAGGCAGGGGAGTTTCCTCTTTATACTAGCAATGGAAGGACTCACTCAAATGCTGGAGAAAGCCAAAGTAATGCAATGGATACAAGGATTCCAAGTAGGAAGGAACCCTGACAATGCAATCACTATCTCCCATTTGTTGTATGCTGATGACACTCTAATATTCTGTGGAGCTGAGAGTTCTCAAGTGTCATATCTAAACCTCACTCTACTGATTTTTGAGTCTCTTTCTGGTTTGCACATTAACATGCTGAAGAACATCATTTATCCTGTCAATGAAGTCCCTAATCTAGAGGAGTTGGCAGACTTACTATGTTGCAAAATAGGCTCTCTACCTACCACCTATCTAGGGCTGCCCCTAGGAGCTAAATTTAAGTCAGTAGGTATTTTGGGTGGCATCATTGAGAAAATGGAAAAGAGGTTAGCAACATGGCAAATGCAATATCTTTCATTGGGCGGCAGACTCACACTGATCAACAGTGTTCTTGATAGTATTCCAACGTACTGTATACCATTATACCCCATGTCAAGCTCAATTCTGAAGCAGATGGATAAATTGAGAAGAAGATTTCTATGGGATGGAAACAGCACAACTCAAAAGTTCTCACTGGTGAAATGGTCCAAAGTCACTCAGCCAAAAATCCAAGCGGGTTTTTGGGTATCAAGAATTTGAAGAATACCAGCAAAAGCATGTTAATGAAATGGCTTTGGAGGTATGGGCAACAAGAGGCAGGTTATTGGAAGACAATTATAGATGCTAAATTTGGTGATCAAGGCCACATGGGGTTGGAGTTTGGAAACACATCAGCAGTCACAAGAACGAATTTTTCCAGAACACATCCTTCAGAGTTGGCAATGGTCAACATATCAAATTCTGGAAAGACAAATGGATTGGCAGCACAACCCTACAGGAATCCTACCCAGGGTTATATCAACTTGCATGTAACAAGGATGCTTTTATTGCCCAATACAGAGAAAACAACAGCTGGAACCCCACATTCATAAGGGATCTTCAAGATTGGGAAATCAATTACCTACTCACTCTCCTTGCAGCCTTGGAAGACTAGAACTTTAGTCCACATCTACCTCACAGAATCATGTAGGGAACCTCTAAAGAAGGGAGGTACACAGTCAAAGCTGGTTACTATCCTCTGTGCTCTCAAAATGGCATCTTGGAGGATTGACCATGGAAGCATGTGTGGAAGATTAGACTACCTCTGAAAGTCTAATGCTTTTCTTGGATAGCACTTAATAGAGCATGCTTAACACAAGACAACCTCAACAAAACAGGTATAACCTTAGTGAACAGATGTTATTTGTGCCACCAAAGTTAAGAGGATGTCCGCCACCTATTTCTACACTGCCCTCTCACAGCTGATCTCTGGAACTTCTTCCTTTCTATTAGGTTTACATTGGGCTATGCCTCAGAACATTAAGGAAGCATTTATTAGTTGGCATTTTTGGAGAGTTGATAAAACCATCAAAAGGATCTGGAGGATGATCCCAGCCGTAATCTTTTGCAGTGTTTGGACTGAAAGGAATAGCAGATGCTTTGATGGGATCTCAACTCCACCTTACACTCTTAACGCCAGATGCTTAGTTAGATTGTTTCGCTGGCATTTTCATTCTCCCGTAAACAATGTTGATAATTTTTTAGATTCTGTTACCTCCTTAATTCTAACATAGACATAGTTCTGGAGCTAATTTTTTGGCTGCCTTGTATTCTGCATCTTCTGGATGCCTTTTATTAATGATGATTACTTACTTAATCAAAAAAAAAAGATTGAGTGATGTTAGTAGAAAACCATACATTTTTGTAGGTCTTCTACTTTTTGGTATATTTCTAGTATAAAGGTTCTTTTTTGCCCAAACATCAATAAAAATTATTACTTTATCCAGTGTTTTGAATAGCGTGAGACGACAAATAGCGATAAGGGCCCGCTTCACTGAGGCGAGAGGCGAGAAGTGAAGCGCTCGCCTTTTTGATGTGAAGCGACAATTTATATAAAAAAAAATAAAATATTAAATTTGCATATATATATATATATATAGCAATAATATATTAATAAATATATCAATTAAAAACTCAGGTTTGAAAAAGCTCGCTGCCTCTGCCTGTGAAGGAATTGAAAAACAGAGCCAAAAAAAAAAAAAAAAAAAAAAAAAAAAAAAAAGGAAGGAAGGAAGGAAGGAAGAATGAAAGAAAGAAAGAAAGAAAAAGAAGAGAAGAAGAAGAAAAAGGAATAAAGAAAGAGAGGAGAAAGAAGAAAGAAGAAGAAAGAAATAAAAGGGCAGAAACTCGAAGAAGAAGAAGAAGAAGGAGAAGAAAGAAGAAAAGAGATGAAGAGAAGCATACCTGATAAAGAAGCTTGAAGAAGAAAAAAGAATCGCTGATGTGACTGGGACTTGAAGGAGAAAGAAGAAGAAATCGATGAAGCCCTAAATTTTTTCTTTTAATCGCTGGTCTGCCGCCTTTTTCTTTTCTTTTTTTTCAAAAAACGACGCTACAGGACGCCTCTCGCTACACAGGCAGAGGCGCTCGCCTTTTTGAAATCGCCACGCAACAGAGGCAAATAGCGCTGGAGGCTCGCATAGCATCGCCTCACGCTATTAGCGTTGAGGCGAGCGTTATTTACAACACTGACTTTATCAAAGTAAATCTTTGAGTCTAACTCAATCCCAAAAGCTAGCTCACGAGGGGAGAATTGCCCTAAACTTCCCTCAACCAATTTGGGACTCTAACCCACTCTTACGCCCCCACACGTCCAGACCCAACAACTGGAGCGTGAACAATATAATATGGGGTCCAACATCATATAAACAAAGAATTGGGATGAGCCTGGCTCTATACCATAATAAGAAAATGGACCTTGGGCTTAACACAATCCCAAAAGCTAGCTCAAGATGTGAGGATCGCCCAAGACCATATAAGGAGGCCATGACACATTCCCTCAACCAGTGCGGGACTTTAACCCACTTTAACATCCCGCATTGGTTGAGGGAATAGGTTGTGTCTCCTTATATGGTCTTGAGTTAGGCACAAGGGACATATTTTCACAATAAAAAAGAACTGTAGCAGAAATACCAACCTGGTTAACATTTCTAAAAAAACTTAGATCCCATAATATAAATTATGTGAACCTATTGATGCAAAATCCAGTCGCTATTACAGGCAGCTGGAAGGAAGGAGAACATTGTAACCAAAGCTAGCTGCAAAACTAAGGCTGGTAAAAGATTCAGCGGAATACTAAGTACTGCATATCCAGCCAGCAAATAGCAGCAATTGGCTAGATACACAAAGAGCAGGGAGACGGGATCCTATAGGGCATGAATATCAGAACGATCTACAAGATTGGGAGATGAAGGAGCTGAATTGCTTGGACTACTATATAAGCAAAAGTATCGTCTTCAAATAGAGAAAGAAACAAGTGGATTTGGGAAGGGCACAAAGATGGAGTCTTAAGAGAGAAGAAAGATTTCCCCCACTGGACAATATGGTCAAAAGGACCAAGAAAAGTGCCCTTTGCTTTGATAGCTGCATGGGATCCATTCTTACAGCAGAGAACTAGACTAAAAGAAAGATAATATGTATCAGTTGGTGTTTCATGCGTATCAGACAGTGGAGGAGGAGGTCAACCATTCGTTGTGTCACTGTCAAACTGCACAGAGGATATGGAGTTCAGAGTGGAACATATTTGGAATTCAGTGAATGATGCTAGGACAGCTAAAGACATGCTATTGTGTCTAGTGCCTACTAGGTGGAAGCTCAAGAGCAGAAGAAGAATTGGGTGAAACATTTTGTTTTTCTGTGAAGTTCTGGAGCACATGTCGTACTCTAGTCAGTATTGATGACAAGAGGATCTTTGTTGAGAACCAGGTTTTGACATAGGTTTCTTTACTTTTTGTATACATCTTGTAAGAGGTTTTACTTGCCCAACATTTCAATAAAGTATTTACCTATATCAAAAAGAAAATTAGGGATAGAGTCGTATAGACCACTCAAAATAACGCACAATTCTCTGGATAAATACTTTTCAACTGAAAATTTCCAAAGCCAAAGAGGACTCCAAAAGCGATAGAGAGCATATCGGGTTTCCCATTAAGTTGTTTCAAATGACTATATTGACTACAAAATCTAACTACTATGACTATATCCAGAAGTTTCTGCAGGATACACCAGACTAACAAAAATATAGAACCAAAAGATGCAGAAATAAAGTGTAAACCATTGAGAACAAGATAAGGCGTAAAGACAACAAATTTTGAGACAAAAATAGTTAATTTGCTCGAGTCAACAATTTAAACAAGACTAACAAACGATCAAAGCATACCTGCTGCCGCATTTCTTCTACTGAAAGTAATCCAAGTAAACCTCGTTCTCGACAGGCTTGACGGAGCTCATCCTCCGAAAGGGACTCTACGCCCTCTGCTTTAATCATCTTGTCATCATTCTTGATCCTGCCAAAAGCAGCAAAGTTTTGCTAAATGAAGGAAAAAATTTGCTTCTACAACACATGCATCACAAAAGCATTCACTCATCTCCAAAATGAAGATGTAACCACCAAGATCTAGAGGAAATCTACCACGAACAAAGAAACAGAAAGATAGGCTTTTATTGTGAGAGGATACAAATTGCCTGCACATCACAGGTCTTGCATGCTCTCAATAGATTTGTCCCGACTGTTCTCACTATGGCCTCCATTTTCTAGACTTCTGTCAGTCGTTATACCTTTTTTACTGATTCCCTGTTACCAACCAACCCAGCAATTCCCCAAGAAAAAGTCAAACAAACAGGACCACCTGATTATCTAGTTTGGCACGAGGTTGTTGTAGCTGGAAATGATAGGGGCTATAATCTCTGAACAGAACTTTTAAACATATCAAAAGCTACCTTATGTGATATGACCATAGGAATGAAAATCAGTTCTTAAACAAACCAATCATAATAATGAAGACCAGTTTATTTTAAAGAGAAAAAAGGCACAACCGAAGGAGGAAAAGAGAAATTAACCATTTAGGCTCGAGTTATTCAAAATTTGGAAGGAAAATAGAGCTCAACTGATTAAATATTTGTGGAAGGAAAAAAAACATAATTTGGATAGAAAAGGATATATAAACTATTAGACACAAGTCAACTCAAAATGAAGAACCATAATAGTGAAAACCAGTTAATTCTAAAGAACAATTTTAGGAAGAAAACATAGATGAACTATTTAGGGTCGACTTATTCAAAATTAAAAAGGATAATAGAGATCAGCGGACTAAATATTTGTTGAAGAAGGAAAAAAGAGCATAATTGGAGAGAAAAGGATATATAAACTATTAGACACAAGTTAACTCAAAATGAAAAATAACGAGACTTACTTTTGAAGCCTCTTTCGAAGCATGAATCGCAAATATGCATCAGTTCCAAAGGGGTTGATACCCATATATTTGCACATATTCACCAACCTCGGTCTGCATTTGACGAATATCAATTGCACTTCAATATTTTAACCATCAGCAATATATGCAAGAAATTTTCATTTAGTCAGAATTAGACCAAGAAAGTGTAATTAGGCAGAAACCTGCTGATATTATCCAAAGTGAGCTCATCATTAAAC